GAGTCATAGCCCTGACCGTGGCCGCGTTGCGTGCGGAAGGTGCTGCGGCGAGAGCGAGCAGCACGCCCCAGGGTGCTGCGTACAGCCCCATCGCGGGTACGAGTAGAGGCGCGCCGGCAGGCGAGCCATGGGACCGTGCCGGGTTTAAGCGCGCGGAGATGGGAAGGGAACCGGATGGACATGTGCGCGAGCTCGGATCAGGCGAGGTCTTGCAGGCGGTGCCATCATGCAGAGGAGCATTCGTCCCCCCAGGTTTTTGCTCTCGAGTACCTTGGGTAACACTACTGCCCAGCAACAGAATTTTCCAAAAAATAAACAAGCCAAAATTTCCCAAACCGGATCACGAATAAACTAAACCATGCACTTCACAACCGGTGCACTCACTCCCCTTTCAAGCAAGAGACGTCATCCAAACCCCACCCGCGCCACTTCGAGACTATACTCCGTCAGGGCTTTCCCGTCCCCACACCCACAGGCCCCAATTGCCCTTGCGCAGCCGCGCGCGGCTCGAAACGACCCTTTCCCCAGCCCATCGCGCTGCGCACGTCGCAAGCCGCCTGCCAAAATGCCGGTCAAGTTTTGCAGCAACTGCAACAACATGCTCTACCCGCGCGAGAACACCAAGGAGCTGCGCCGCACTGGGAAGAAGGAGCTCATCTACTCGTGCCGCAACTGCTTCGCTGTACAGGTCATCCAAGTTCCGAACGAGGCCGTGTACAAGAATGTGGTAGTTCACACGGCAGAGTACGTATTGGCACCGGTTGGGAGAGGTGGCCCCGCGTCGTGCGCTGCGCAGACCGTACTGACGATTTTTGCTTTCTTATTCCATCGGCTTCATTTTGGGTTTGTAAAACAGAGAGAAGATGAGTATCACGTATGATGTCAGTCTAGATCCTACGCTGCCGAGGACTTTTAGTGCAAAATGCCCGGATTGCAGCGGAAGCGAAGCCGTCTACTTCCAAAGTCCTGTTGGGAAAAACGACGAAGCCCTCGTTTTGGTGTTCGTTTGCGTCACATGCAGCAAGCAATGGCTGTCCAGCGACGAATAACAAAGAAATCCAGATAACCTCTGAAGCTCAACGTGTAATATCTCTCACAGACAAGCCAAGTCACGCAATTAACGCAAGGTAATACATACAACTCACAACATTGCATCGGTGCCCGACCCGACAGCCTACCCAGTTTATCAAATATCGATCACTCGCGACAGTTTCTGCACTCGGTTGAGAAGCAAGTCACCCTGCTTGATGGTGTTCTGATACAGAGCATTCTTCGCATCGGGCCGCGTCGTTTCAACGACCCCCCCAACCATATCGATCTTACAGTTCAACCTTCCCGCCGCGATAAAGCGGGACAACTCACCATCCATAAATTCCGGTCCCACACCAAAATTCCTGCACATTGCCGTGAGAGTCACCGACTGATAGCTCGCCAAGAACTGCGAGTACGACACCACGCGCAACTCGCGTCCGATGTAGTTCTTGTGCACTGATATAAACCGATCTTCGCCGATGACGTCAAGGATATCGGGAAGCGTCGCCGTGTACTTGTTGTAGTCGCACTCGATCAGCGCGGATAGAAAGTTGTTCAGCTTCTCGTTCTCCAGGACCACTGTGAGAATTTCTGGCGCATCTGCCACCTTTGCCTTCAACGTCGGCCGATCCACAGAGACCAGCGACGTGATGACCGTGTAGAAGACAAACTTCTTGTAATCGAAGAGCTCCATCGCAGAGAAAGTCTGCAAAGAGTCCAAAAACAGCGTCGCAGCCCCGGTGATATCCCTTCGCGAGACTAAATACGTGGCTTCGTACACTTTCAGCCGGTTTCGCCGTTCCCAATCGCCCCCTTTCTCAACGAGACCCTTTGCCCTGGTAATGTTGGTGGCGATGAACTTGAAGTCCATGACGGTGAGGCCGAGACGAATGAGGGCAAGGACAATATCAATTTTCTGACCGATTCCAATGGTTGCCTTGAAGGTGCGCTCGTACGCTTCCTCCGCTTTAGGGCGATCCAATATCCTTCCAAAAAACTCGGCACGTGCGAGCAGGGCTTCCCGTACTTCAGACTCACCAGAATTTTCCTCGGCATCCTTCACTTTTGCGTCCAATTCTTCCAATTCTTTTGTAACGTCGGCCTCAAGACTTGCTTGCAGCGCGGCATCTTTCGGCCAATCCTGGTGGTGAGGAGACACAAGAAAAGAACAAATGTTAGCACAGTCACCTCGGAGGAAGCATGTCGAAAGAGTAGGGTTCTTCGCAAAGAGGGTGAGGAATCCATACCAATTCTGTCGCTACGATTTGGTAGAATGGTAATGCCTTGCGTTCGACAAGATGTTTCTTCAGAGCGGCAGCAGCCTCCGCATCTCCTCGGGATGCCTTGAAGCGCAGTTCCGCCAATCGTAGGTTTTCATCCTGTGCAGCGAAGTCGTCAACCATGATTCCAAGCTGAAAAGGGATGCGACAAGTGAGAAGAGTTGCGATTACGAATACGCAAGCGTATATATATATGTCTGGAGGATGAGAAAAGTTCAGGAGGCTACAGGCGATGGCTTGCAGCCCCAAGGTGGCAAACAGCCACCTTGGGGCTGCAATGTTGGAAGACGGAAAATAAAACTTGATTTTGCATGAATCAGAGAAAATATAAAAATATTTCATTTCCAGACTCAAACGCAAGCTCTATCGCAGTGGCCTCGTCCCACATCGATCAATTGGCATCGCCTCATACTACAGTAATTTAAAATTAATATACAGCCTCTGCAAAGTTGAGTGCACAGTACCAGAAGGGTAGGTGATCCAGAACAAAAGGGTTCGTCCCACCCTTCTGTTGACAGATTGATGTCAATGATGTCAACATCAATCCCCAAGTTAGCGACTACAACCACTCTACGAACCCCTACATGTCTCGAATCAAAGCTTTTTCGGCACACCTCATCAGAAAATCAAATAAGGAGACAGCGCGGAGAGAAGGTTATCAATAAAAACAATTTTACTCCACCCTAGGCGCCGCTTCTACCCCAGATGTGCGACCCATACATTCTGGATTGCTATCTCGCCAACGACTTTCTGCTTCTACCTGAACGTCTCTGACTTGCACGATTTGAGGCCACTTTCGCACCAACAAAGTCATCCTGCAACTCCTCGTCAAAGTTTCTGTAGTCATAATTCTCGTCTTCGAAATCAGACTGTGACTCTGACTCGCTGGTGGTCTCAAACCCATCCTCAGACACCGCACTGGGTTCATCCACGTCAGTTCGAGAAGTATGGATCGAATCACGTAGATTTGATAGCCGAGTGCTTCGCCTTCGAGGTGTTGCCTCGGAGCTATCCTCGACAGGTTTGCTTCGAGATTCGAGGGAGAGCCGAGAGGGAGTTGCGACATCTTTCTTTCCTGTTTCGAATGAAGACCCCTGCTCGGAAAGAGCAGTGACTTCGGAAGGAGCAGTGACCTCGGAAGCCTCTTCCAGAATGACCTCATTGGGGTGAGCGTCCCCTGAAAGGTGCCTTTTGTCAGCATCGTCCTGGACTTCTTCTTCTGCATCTTCTGCGTCTTTTGCAGAATGAGCGTCTTCATGATCTGCTTCTACGTTTTCTGGAGAACAGACCTCTGCGCCACCTTCGATAAGTTGCTCTCCCGAGTTGGCTTCGTTTTCCTGGACCACCACAGCTGGAGCCTTGTCTAAAACTGCAGTCATTCGATCTCTGAAACGTTTTAAGGCCAAAGTGAGGCGCTTGTCATCAGATTCTTCCATTGCAGACTGAGCCAGCTTGCGAAGAATCTGAATCTGACCCTGGTTGTCGGACGTACATGTCAACCGGAAACCGGTCAAGATGCGGCCATAGGTTCGACAGATATTAATTTCATCGCTCTCAACAGCGTCGATAATTTCGTGCAACACCGTCTCTGCGAGGCGCTCATGGATTTGGTCAGCGGAACGTCCGACATCATCTGAAGATGGCATGCCTTGCTTTCTCGTTGCAGATGTTGCGTTTGTAAGATGTACAATGAACTGTGCAACTTGAAGGACTGGGATGGTACTGAGGGGGCTTGTGGACGGTGCCGAGGTCAGGATTCGGCACGTTTGTTTGAACGAATCTTCGAGTCCGAGGCGGTTTGCAGGCGCTGACATCGCAAAGGCAGGAAAGAAGACGGACAAACACTGGCGCAGTTGAGCATCATCCTCTGTTGTTGGATTATGATGCACAATAAGCATGCGAGAAAGAAGTGTTGGGTTTGGCGTTATTCGACGCACGAATAGAAGTCGAGAAAGCCCTTGTACAGCGATTGAACGCATACACCCGTCCGCATGTGTAAGGTTTTCTGACAGCATATCAACGCACATCTCGGCCATATGAGAAAAGCTCGCATCTGGACCGTCGCCATTTCGCTCCGCTTGCTCGGTCGAGAAGTCGAAAACCATGAGAAAATCGACGAGGACCTGCGAAGTCAATTCCTGAATCGAAGGCACATCTGTCTTACTAGCTTGGATGAAGAGCGGCATATTTGTCTTCGCTTCAGTGCCAGAGCGGTCCAGAAGGCAGAAAAGCCCTAGACATTCCAATGCTATTTGACGGATATCTTCCCTCACACAGAGCAACTGAGGCACTACAGCTACTTCCATGAGGCTTCTGCAGAGGGAATTGGAGGCTGCAGCGCTGGATTCGCCCTGCTTGCATATCCTTAGTGTTTCCTTCACTACGTTCAGAGCCCTCAGGTTTCTCCACTCGCGATCTTCATCAGAAGGCGCCTCTGCATCGGTCCCATCTTCGTTTTCGTCAATAGTGTCGGCCAGAATATCCTGACGGACAATTTCAAGCAAAATTCGTAACGTAGCCTCCTCGTCCAACATAGCACGTCTCATGGCTCGGACAGCATAAGCAACGGTTTGGTCACTGACGTGATGGCTCGACAGAAAATCCGTTCGCACGACATTCTCAAGAGCCTTTCTCCCCGCTTCGTCCCCCATATCCACGCTTTTACACAGCTCGAGCAAATGCCTGGACGCAAAATCATCGACCGAATAATATTGGATAACGTTCGTGTATTCAATAGTGTTCGCGAAAAACTTATCCATGAAAGCCTCGCCCCTCTGCGTGTCAGCCATTGCCCTTAGCACCAGAACATCAGCATGCTGCACAGCGCTTAAATCAATTTGCACAGCGTCAATGAGCGTCTTATGCCTCTCACTCGCAAACACCACGCGCAGCGCACGCAGCACGTCCTCTTCGCGATCATTACAGCCGAGTAGCTCACAAAGCGCAAATATATTTCCCTCGCACGCACCGTCGAGCCAGCCCGCAAGCAGCATAGTCTCCGTACACGTCTTCCTGACACTTGCATCGCGATCAGCGAGACCAGCATGCAATAACGCGCACAAATCCTCTGTTTCCATAGCAGTCGGTTGCACTTTGAGCGCGAGCGTCTCGTATGCGACGCGACGCACATCGGCACGAATATCCTTTGTGCGGTTGGAGACAACTGGTATGGTCTTTTCCGACAGCGCGACAGCTTGCAAAGCGGCTTTCCGTACTGCCGCGGAGGAGTCCTCTGACACCATCTTGACAAGGCGGGCGGCGAAAGGATCATCGGTTGGGTTGCCAGTGATCTGCAAACGGCACAAGGCGGCCGCGGCTGCAGCCCTGACTCGCGGAACACGGTCATAGGCACGGGAAAGAATGGCGATCTGCAACGGCTCCCACAGCTCTTCTGAGATCTCAGCATCCTCCGGCAGGGCGTTGAGGGTAGCGGCAAGCAGTTGAACGGAGCGGAACCGGACGGCCGGGGCAGTGGCATTCATCTGTTCGAGAAGGTATGCGAGGACTGCGGCACGGAAGTTGCCGTCGGCAGTGTCTGCATTTGCTGTGAATAACGCAACGAAGGAGATGAATCGCTCAACAGCGGGCTGCCGCGAGAAGACGAGAAGGGCGCGGTTGAGACAGTGAATGAAGGAGGAGAAGAAGGCGGCGGGGGAGGCCGTGAAGGCGGAGAGAAGAAGCTTGGTGGAGCGACGGTGGGCGGAGGTCGTGCGTTGGGCGTCGTTGAAGGCGGTGCGGACCAACTGGTCGACCTGGGCTTCGGACGCGGGTGGTTTTGGCGGACGCATGGCGAATGAGGGGGGGCGGGGGAGGGGGGGAGGAGGGAATGGGGAGGGGAGAGGGTCGTTTGAGTGAGCGAGGAGCAGCAAGAAGCGAGAGGGAGAATTTGTTGTTGATACAGGCGAGGTTGGGGGGGATGGGCGAGCAAATTAGGGGAAGCGATATCATTGAGAATGACGATTTGAATTCAAGTAGCGATTACCTGACGGTTTAAATTTTCAAATGTTGTGTAGTAGCGGGAAGCGGGAATCACTAAAAGCATTTTTCGCTAATGTATTTGCATATTTGGAATCCGGACCTTGATTGGCCACTTGCAGTGAGGCGACATCATACTTGCACCTCTATGTCGCTCTCCTCTCGCTGCATGTGGTCTCAGATCCAGCCATCAAATCGTTTCTTGGTGGTGCATCTGCAGACCATCATTACCATGCTCGTCCCCCACGCAGTCCCCTACCATCGCCTCATCCCCCGCGCAGCTTCTCCGCTCCCCCCATGCCACCGCATCCCTTCGCCCGGCTGAAGCCGCAGCTCCCCGCGGGCGCCGGCCAGGCTCTTGATGCCGACATCCGCACGCTCTCTTCGCTGCTGTCTCAGTTTTCTCGCATCACCATCCTCTCTGGCGCCGGCATCAGCACCGAGTCCGGCCTTGGCGACTACCGCTCCCCCGGAAAGGCCAAACCCGCCCGGCCCCCAATCAACCATTACGAGTTTGTCTCGCAGGCTTCCGTGCGCCGGCGATACTGGGCCCGCTCGTTCGTCGGCTACCCCGTCCTCTCGCAGGCCGCCCCAAATCTTGCGCATCACGCGCTAGCGGCGCTCCACACCAACGGCGGTCACAACTTTCATAGACATATTACCCAGAATGTCGACGGCCTGCTTCAGCTGGGTGGCACCCCGACCGGGTGTCTGCTAGAGTTGCATGGCACCATTCATGACGTTGTTTGCCGGAGCTGTGGTGAGACGGAGCGTCGTTCTGCGTTTCAAAATAAGCTAATCGAGCTCAACGACACCTGGTCGCAAGAGTTGGGGACGTACGAGTTTCGTCCAGACGGGGATGCTGATTTAAATGGGGAGCTAGTGAGGCGATTTCGCGTGCCGGTGTGCAGGGCGTGCGGGGAGGACATGCTCATACCGTCGCTGGTGTTTCATGGTGGCCAAGTGCCGGGTGATGTGACAGAAGAGGCAAAGAAGATTGCGAGCGATAGCGACGCTATGCTGATCGTCGGGTCCACTGTACGGCCGCTGTCGGCGTATAGGCTGGTCCGAATCGTCAAGGAGAAGGGCGCATTTTTGGCATGTATCAATTTTGGGCCCACTAGGGCTGATGATATTCTTGACTTTAAGATAGAAGCATTGATGGGGGATACGCTTGCCAGGTTTGCAGATGTTCACCTTGGCGAAGGATTCAAACCACCAAAGCATTTGACACAGGTAGCACCAGACTCAGATCCACTCGTGCGAATGCTCGAGTTGTAAAAATAGCCTTAACCACAAGGCAGGTCGCTGAGAGGGCATAGTTTCCCTGCAGTAACTTTGCTCGTGTTTCTAGCTAGAAACTCTTACATTGCCTCAGAAGACCCAACGGCCTTCGACGTCCAGTTGGTACATAATAATGGTAGATGATAATAGCATCTCCTATGTTTCAAAGAAATAAAGTCAATATCATATTGGATCAAGAGGGCAATTTCCCTGTCATGAATGATAGTCTGGCAAAAGGAATGTACAGGACTTGCTATTTTGTCGCATGAAATGCGAATACGCCCATCTACCCAAGGATGTCTGGTCAGACCATGTATGTACTGTACAGCACAGTGCAGTAGATGGGAAGTTCGATTTGAATATGTATAGTATGAAGGAGGAGAAATGGGCCCCAACGCACCCAACCAAGTCATTAAGTACAGCGTACTTCCATAATTTCCTGTCGTACCGCGCAACTGAAGACTTCAAAATTCGTCAGGGTGGAATCATAGATCAAGTGAACAAAAAAAAAAGAGCCAGATCAAAAGGTATGTGTAGATGGAATGATATGATTCCCTCCTCTGAAGCTAGGCCAAAATATTGTTACCTCTGTAGTAGGCGTTTTAGCTTGTATTCTGTGCACACACAGTGCGAGACGATGCCTGTTTTTGACATCACGGCTCAGCGGCAATGCAAATAACCTCCGTAATGTTACTGTATTCGATGCTCGCTCGCTGCACTGTACGTTGTCACGGAGAATTTTCAAGGTTGCTTTCTGGGCCCGTTACTACGTGGATCCAGCAATGCTGCGGGTTAAAATCTGAAACACACATCCCCGTGCTCCACGCTAATACTTGTACTGCTATTACGCTTCTGGAATATTGAAGCACGGCAGGCCCGGCGGCGGAAATAAATATCCAGTTGCAGTCAACTGATCTCTGTGTCAAAACTGCCGGGGCCTCAGACAAACTTTCATGTCCGAAGGATGCAGAGCCATAAGAGGGCATTCCAGTAGCATACCTAATAATATGCAACAAATGGGCCGACAAAACTGTTTATATGCTACAAGCACCTTTCTTTGTAGAAGAAAAGAGGTTGGCTCGCAAGTAGAGCTCAAAAAGAATCGAAAAGAAGTTATTTCTACCAGTTATTAGTACTTGCATCTTGATTTCCTCCTTTCTTGTGTCGTACCCACTACTGTATATGCCCTGGAGGGCTTCCAAGCCTCCGTACGATCACGAAAGCATGAATCTGGCCCAGATTACATCTGTGTGTAATAAGCTGGGTAACACGGTTGCACGTACTGTGGCGGCGAGAAGTAGCTGGGGAAGAGCATATTAACAGGAAGCGGGTATCCCTGCGAGATGTAAGGTTGAGGAATGAGGGTCGGGAGTGGAATATATTGCTCATAGTAATAGGCGGCGGGCTCATATTGGACCGGGGTGTGGTGCATCTGCTGGTGCTTGGCATAATTGCTGGATTTCGGTGAGTGGCGCTGCGCCTTGATGTTCGGGGCGGAATTCTGACTCTTCGGGGACGACGGGTTGGACGACACCGGGGTTGACACCGGAGAGGTATCGAACGGGAGGGTGTGCAAGTCTTTCTTCCTTGTGTACCTCTTGCTGCGACACTCTTGCAAGATGAGTGCAAACGAGGCCTTGTTATCCTCTTCCTTCTTGAGAAGTTGCTGCAGTTGCTCAGAGTCTGTGACGGTTATCTTGTGGTCGTCGAGGTGCTGGCACGAGGGTGTTTGGTCCGTCGGAGGTTCAAGCAGCACGTGGACGGAGTTTGTCCAGTTGGGGAAGAAGATGTCGCGCTCGACTTCGCCGAGCGGTCCATCTTGAAGCTTTGCGCGCAAGTCGTCGAGGGTGGGTACGGGAGGAAGGCAGAGGACCTTGAGGTTCTCGACGGCGACAGTATGATCAAGCTTCTGGATGAAGACCTTGAGCTCGGGGAGGATAATCATGGTGGTAGATAGAGATGGTGAGCTCGGGGAGATCGAATGTAGTGAATAGGAGTAGATATAAGGTAAGTTGGGGCGGAGGGAGGGAAGTGAGGGGGAGCTTGGGGCAGGTCGGGGTACGTTTGTAGACGAGGAGAGAAGCTTGGAAGAGTATCGAGGCTCAAGGAAAAGGATGGAAGGGGGTTGGCTTTGAAGAAAAGAAGGATGGGGAAGGTTCGGGGGGCTCTGTTCGGGGGGTTCACGTAGCGGGGGGTGGCGAAAGGGGTGGCAGATGTGTGGAGGCAAGAGCGGTCGACTGCATTGAGGGAAAGGCGTAGGAGGGGGGGCCTCTTAAAAGGCGAGCCTTGTGCTGGCGGTCTCCAGTGGGGAGTTGGAAGGGGGATGGGGGCTGGGATGGCTCGAGAATGCAACGTTGGGTTGTTGTCTGTGCGATATCAGTGGAAAGGTGATGGTGGGGCTGTGGGGGGCTGGTTGCCACTCGGGTTGTCGCAGCGCAAGCTACACGCATGGAGGGAAGGCATGGGGGAAGGGGGTGGGGATGGTTGGGATGTACACGCGTGTAGAACGCGGTGATATGGAACGGGGGATTGTAGGGGGGGGGGGG